CTATGCAATGACATTATGACACGATTAAAAGATGTGTTGGAAGGAATTAAAAATACTCACTTGCTAGTTTGGTTGGCCCACAGGCACAGAGAAATCAGGGGAAAAGGGAAGATATCTATCACTGCTTGCTTAAAATATTCTTTGAAAGAAATGCTGATGCACAGACTCTCACTTATATAAGGAAGGTGAATGATTTAATCAGGTAATGATGGATTTAGGTGACATTTAGTGTTAGGTTCCCTGGAGGGCTGCCATCTTTACACCAGAGCCAAGGTCCACAGGCTAGTGCACTAAGACATAAGCCTCCACCCTACCCTTCTATAAAACAACAATAATCTTAGCTACCAGCAAAGATGCTGAAAAGCCATAAAATCTTTCTAATTTGCTTTCATTTCCTCTACAAAAATGAATTACTGAAGTCAGTTTTCAGAGATGTAAAATACCCTTTGGAAGCCACTTTGGTCCCGTGCAACTTCGAATCAAACTTTATGTTGCCTTATCTGAATGCACATAGCTAGTTCTATCTTTCCTGATTAAAACTTCCTGATTAAAAAAAAAAAAAGTGTTTGTACATTTACAGATCAAATTGGCTCAGTAATGGGTCAATGCTCTAAAGAGGGTTGAAAGACCTGAACACTAGAGGGATTAAAAACAAGTCTGAGAAACCAAAAAGGTGAACAAAGTACAAAGCAGTTTGGGCGGGCTTTGATTGTCATCACTGCAGAGCTGAAGGCTCTTAGCTGAGCAGCAAAAAATGAGACAGCAGACTTGGTCTAATTCATGTAATGACCAAAAAGACAACAGTATCTCATGAATAGAATATTTCTTGTTGGTGTTGGGAGGAAAGGACAGGCAGCGGCTCTCAGGGATGAAGCTCTTAAATGAAACAGTGAAGATACGATTGCAGGGCTTCTTTCTACCTATTGTTTTACTCACCCAGTGTATAAAAAGAAGATTGCTGCCTCGATACTGTTCATCCAACAGTTTTTCCTTAAAAAATAAACATATGAAAAAAAAAACCCTAACAGAGTCCAGTAACTGCAAGAACTACTGATTGAAAAATACTTGAGCTTTTGTGAGGGAAATTCAAACACTATGCTAGGAAATAATTTGAGGCTTTTGCAACAAGCCTTATGAGGGCAACATGTCAGCACGTAGGCTTTACATACTGTCTTTTCACGCTAGTTTAAAGAGTCCAAAGACAACAGTCCTGATGATTTCGAAGGAGGGAGGAAGAAAGCTTTCCAGATGCGGGTCATTATTTTAGAGAGACAAATGCTAAAATAAAACAGCATAATAAACTGTCTTTGAATCTATAAGTCCTATCATCCTTCTATTGAAAGCAAGAATACCATTTCAATTCACTTGCTGAAATGTTTAAGTTACAGGCACTGAGTAATTACATATTATTAATGCAAAATGTGTACTTACTAGCCTTTATGATAACTGAGCAAATAAAAATTACAAGAAATATATTTACACTAAATATTCACTACAAAATATCTAGTAAGTACAAGACCTCTGTGCTGAACACAAGACTTGGCACCCAGCTGACAACTGAAAACTCTTTTTTCCCTCTCTTTCTTTTAATGAAAGCTTGCGAGTTTTCAAGATAATACAGTGCACAGCAAAAACCGTGAAGAGACCCTAAAAATCAATGGACCTGTAACTATTTTTAGATGTTGCTATTTTCTGCTATCCCTGATGTTAAGCCAATTTTGGGGAGATTTGGCTGTGTGTGTATTTCTGTGAGACATTTGCAATCAGCCACCATGTAAATTATCCCAGAAGCAAACTGAGAGCTGCAGCTCAGTGAGTATTAGGCTGAGCAGAGAACATCCAGTTCTCCCATCCCTTACATGTCACAAATGGGGCAGAACATTACTGGATTCTACTGTGACCTAAGAAGACACTGATTTTATATATTGAGCTCTTTTTTGGTAGGTTTGTTCTGTTTGGTTTGTGGTTTTTTTTTTTTAGTCAGGTAGGAATTCCAAGGAAGAAGAAGAGAATAAATCATCATCCAGGAATTGATGTTTTTTTAGATTAAACTGCTGAATCTGAAAGGGAATGATAATCTCCATTACCCTTAAAAACAGGTGTGTACTCTACATTAGAGTGATATTTGGCTTGGGTAGGGGCTACCAGGTATCCTGTGATACACTTCACTTCTCATGTAAGACACTGGTGGTGTACAGATACTGCGCTGGTTCCTGAGCAGCTGCCTGTGGCCTTCACCTCATCATATTTCAAGAGACTCCTCTGAAATGGAAAGAATGGAAAGACTCCCATTGACTCAGTGGAAAGGACACTGGGCCTTACACGAACACAAGATGTGCTTCACAATCTCACTTTATCAGCTCAGCCTTCCTCCCACTGAAGTCAGAGCAGGTGTGCCCGTGACGACGGGAGCAGCACTTAGGATCTACAGATCTGAGCTAACTCAGTAAACTGATCAACAAGCAAGGTTTGGGAAGTCAAACGTTCTTTTTCACTGCATCTGTAATTAAGTACCCATCCCATTTAAGTTATTTGCATTTAAAGTGAGCAATTCTTTGAGCCTGAGATGTATTATCCTTACATATGCAGCTACAGTATTTTGACTCTTCAGGTAGTCTGGTTTTCTATTTTGTATTTGGGTTTTTTTCTGTTTTCCTGTTTTCTTATTGGCAGTTATGCAGCAATCAACTTAAAAACAAACAGAAAAAGAAAGGGATATGAATGAGGAAGTGAAATGGGGTACAGGGAAGAATGACCTAAAGAACACTGGGACTAAATTTTACCAATTAGAGCAAAGAAACCCCAGAGGAATTACTCTTCAGCAAGCCTAAAGGTAGAATTTGCCCATTCAAAACAGGAAGAAGCACCTTTTTCTTATATACTTTTTGTCATCTAGCACAATTCATGGTTTGATTCACCAAAGTAAGTAGCTTCCATTATTTTGGATGGCATTTGACAATTCTCAGTAGTTGTGCCAGGCTAGTCAGCACCATTACTGAAGATGCTGCCATGACATTATGATGGTAACATACTTCCTATTCTTAGTTTCTTCATTCCTGCTTTTCCATTTGATGCTTGGTTTTGCCTTACTGCATTATTTTTTTTTGTCTTCACAGCACTGTCACCTGCTGATGCAGCTACTGCTCTAACCGTACTGAGACTTTCTGCACAGCTGCCAGTTCTAACTTGAGCTGCATGGCCAAGTCCAGGTTGCTAATCTGGAGAATGACGTCCCTGTCTTGTGCTTCCATGCCCAGAAACTTGCTGTCTGCGGTGTGGTGTAAAATTGCAGGTTACCTATTGCTGCCAGAAGTCAACACTTCAATCAGTTCACGTTTCTGTGGCATTTTTCTTCCATACTCAAAATACGACTAAAATAATCATGCTTCAATTCAGTCCTGTAGGACAGCTATTACACAGCAATTAAATACCATTTATAAAAACCAGAGTTGCTGGTTGAAATCGGTGCTTGAAGTTTAGCAACCACAAAACACAAATTGCTTCAGTGGAAACATTTTTTTGAGCTTTTCTGAAAATGGTCTTGAAGGTCAAGTGAAATCACCTACGTCGTTTTTGGGTCTTTTTCTTGTCTTTTTTTTTTTTACTTTTTCCAAAACAGAGACTTGAAATGAGCATACTGTTTTGACATGTATGCTCATTTTACATATGAACCCAGGCCACCACTATCAATCTTCACGGGTATCTTTGTTTACTGGTTGCAAACAGTGTAACATTCAGCTCCATTAGAACAACAGAAGTCTAATATTTCTTTTTAGTGGTTATATGGCCGTCATAAAATGGGTACTTCATGCTCGTAGAGAGCCCAAATCCCTCCACCAGTAAAATGGATGAAAGAAGAACAAGATGGCTATTGCCTCAGCACTGGATAAATTAAAATAACATTCATTATTTTTCCTTATTAATTTTACATTAAATGTGGAAGTACTATATTTAAAAAATCATGGTGAAATATTTCAACTTTTGGTTCATGTAAAACTGAATCCCACTTTATGTTAATTTTTAAAATGAAAAGTATATCATCAGATCGCATCGTCTTTCCTGAGAATTTCAGGTGCTTGACATGTATGAAAATCAAGCTGGTTTTATTGAGGAGCTTAAATTTGGACTTAGCAACCTAATTTTAGTCTCTGAAGTCTGAATTTAATTTAATGTGACACTACTTTCCTGTACAGGCCAAGCTTGGCCTCATGTTCTTTAAATAAAGCACCTTCAATTTTACTTGAAAGGATGATATCTAAATCAAAGTAGAAGGTTATTTTGTCTCCACAGGTTCTGAAGCTAGTAGAAGCGGTCATGCAAATTATCCCATTCATACTAATTTATGCCAAAATATGTGGCATATTTGTAACAGGTATCAAGAGCAGATTAGTACAAAGAACTGAGCAGAGACCAAAAGCTGCCAACTTACTCTCCTCAGAACGTGATCTTACAGTTATTTGTTAAACCCACTTAAGGCCGCTGTATATAGTGGGTGAAAGACCAGTTATTAATACACTGACATGCACAAAGCGTTTGTACCAATTTAAAATGAACTGGTGTTTTAACAAAAATAAACTGGATTTCTGTAATAATTTAAGCACGGTAGTGGTGTAACTAGGAGCAAACCACAAGCATGATCCCCATATGCCACAGGGTGTGTTCGAGAGCCAAACATAACAACCTTCAGCAAGCATTCTGCTTTCTTTACAATGATCATTTACAGGAATCCATGAGAAACTCACAAAAAGCAAATCTGAACATGCACTGGATAGCTCCAGCGACTTGTCTGTTTTTCAGAATCAAAATAAACTTGGCAGGGGTCTTGAACACGACAGACAGAACTCCCAAAGAAACCCAAGGGGGCTTTTTTGGGACCAGCATCTGTAGGACCACACAGTATGAAGAACGAAAAGGTACAGTCTGAAGACCTAACAGGATTCAGTCTGAGACTGTACCTTTTCATTCTGAGCAAGAGAAAGAAAGTTTAAAGAATAACCAACCTTGAATTGTCCTCTTGAAGAAAGCCTTGCAGGCTTCGCAGGAAGCCACTCCATAGTGGTACCCTGATGCAATGTCACCACACACCAAACACAGTCTTTTGGGCATCGAGTTCAGCATATATTCACACTTGGTCTGTGAATCTTCAGCGATGGTACTGGAGCAGTCATCATACCGTTTCCTGACCGGCCCGTTGCCCCCAAGCCCCGTGGCCGAAGGGTAGAGGGGAGGTGAGTCCAGCCCGTTCTGATGTCCATTCATGGTGGAACTGTAGCTCCCGCTGGCGTCGGAGGAGCCACCGGGGCTGTGGTGGTTGATGCTGTCCGTCAGAGAGGCAGGGCTCGACGGTTCCGTCTTGATGTACGACGAACAGCTAGAATCAATGTGTCGATCTTTGCTTGACATTCTGCAGAGAAGCCTGTAGTGGGGAGAGAGAGAAAGAAGAATCTGTGTATTAAAGACAGTGCTCTTTAAGGCTGCTCTGGAAGGGTTAGGGACTGCACATCATTCATTCATTAGTCAATACTTCTTGTTCTACATGAAGGTAATCAGCATAAGGGCATGACAGAGCTTTGTCAAAGCTCCAGACAGGCAGTAAACAAAAACTTTAAAGAGACCAAATCCGTCTGTTGTCCCCTCCACCTGCCCTCTAGGCTACATGTCAACTTCACATCAACTCTAAATTCTGAACTTGTCATCCAGCAAGTCAAAAAATCTTAAAAATCCTATTAAGATGACTTGGCTATTAAATGTCTTCATTTTTCAATCTATACTTTCTTTGTGTAAATTCCATCATTATAAGAAACAAATATTTCCAAGTGTGATCACATAGATGTTCTGCTCTATAATTAATATTTGTCAAGGCACTTGACTAAAACACGTATCCATCATCTATTGATCTGATCCCAGAATTGAAGAGCAAGCCTCTTGCAATCTTCTTTTTCCTTTATTAATATTGCTTTATTATAGATACAGCTATTTAGTAACGGAGTAGCACATCAACGAGGAACTCTAACAAATAATTAAGGCTGGACTCCATTTTCACAAAATCTAAGTGAAATGATTCATCAGCTCTGGCTGCAATTACTTTCTAGCCATTATCCTCAGACTAACCAGTAATAACTATGCCACTATCCCATATATCTGCAGCTCTATAGGATCTGACATTTTACGTGTTCCATTTTTGGATTAAAAAAAATGTATTACAGGAAATTTTACACAAAAGTTTTGTCTTTCAGAAGGTGAGATTCTGTCTTCTCAGTTCTCACATTTTCAGAATAAAGCATCTGAAATAAAACCAAACAGCATCTCATCCGACAAAACGTTTTCTACAGGGGGAACAGGGGAAGAAATCTTTGCCTATTTCCAACCCCAAGTCTTTTATTATTTTTAAACACATCTTAAGTTAGGTTGAACAAAGGACAAAAATAATAATTAGAAAGCTCAGAATCAGATATTATTTCCATTTTCTACAGTTGTGACTATGAGACCCCAGTAGCAAAGAGCCTATCCAGCATTTTCCTGACAGTACTCTCAGAAGCTGCCAAAGTACAGATGACAGTTAGGAGCATTTCTCTAGAAACATTAACTGCAAAAAAGCAATTATCCCATAAGGCCACCTACACGGAGCTATGGATTCATGTTTTCAAAGTAAACATATGAGTCCAGACAATTTTTGACTGACTTTAACTTTCCAAGTTAATTTTTGAGATCTTGCTTTTACTTTTCCACCTCTTTGTGTTTAAAAATAAAAAAATTTAAATATATTTCTACTTCAATATTTGAAATCAAATTCACCATTGGAAGACAGATACAAATCTAGAGAGTTGTCTTCCTTTCCAATGAGGGTAACTGAGATCAAAGCCTTCACTAAAGATATCTGCTTAAGATGGGATTCACCCTAAAATCAGTGCCCATGGACCTTAGTCAGGACCTCTCAATTATAATTTTTACTGTACATTTCTATTGAAAACAAACGTGTGAATTTGGAAAACAACCAGATTGATGTACAGAAATGTCAACCTCTAAACTTAAAATAAGTGCTTATTTGGGGAGGTGGAAGGAGCAAGCTATCTGGTGTCAGCAAATAAACCAAGGAAATGGGAAGGTTAAAGCTGTGAAAATATCTTATTACACTGGACCACCTGCTTGTGTTGTCCTTTCCTCAAGAACTGGAGGGGGGGAAATCCCCTTGCCAGCCTGCAGTAGCGTGTGCCTTTTCTTCTGCATCTGCTGCCTTGTAGCCGTCACTGTTAATGAGTGCTGTAATTAATAGATAGCTCTCTCTTGTCTTTCTACTTGCACTCTGGGCTAAGCACTTTTCTCAAGTCAACGTTTGAAAGAAAGCGGGTCGGCACTGACTTACAGCAGCTCTGCGAATTCCTTTTAATTTAGAGCACTTACACCACCACTCCACTTATTACCTTATAATTACTGGACCGCTCTCACATACATTACGATCTTAGACTAGAGTTAGGAGTTATTACGGTACTAAAACACGGTGTCTCTCTGTCTCTCCTCTTTCTCTGACACTGAATTTTATACAGTTATGATTAAAATTATCAGTTAGCTTTCACATTTTACCAACTAATTTTTTTATGCTATTTTTCTACACACTAACACTAAGATGTTTTTATTGACTAAACAGGTACTTGGTTCTCTTTTCACCTCCCTTCTGCTGAGACTTCACATATAAAGTCTCAAAATACAGCACTAGGAGTCACTGCCTCCGGTCCGTCACAACCGGCACGTTCTTGTGTAAGACTCCCACTGCTGATTTTTTTATCTAATTTGTGCAATAATGAGCTCGAATGTCACCCTTCCCCTTCCAGAAAAACACATTTGCAATTAATTAGCTGGTCACAGGCATGTTGTTTTAGCCAGTACAAAAGTGGATATCTCCCACTCCAAGCAGTCAGAACCAAAATACAATCTCAGTTCTCTAAGCATTAAAATCTGATCACCAGCACTGCCTAGGCTAAAGCCAGTCTGCTGATGCTTCTCAAGTAGCAGTTTCTGGTACTAACCAAGCCAGAGCTGCTTTTGGCTCCAGCTTTAACAGTACAGACTGGATTTGGTGCACGCTGGCAAAGCACAAATGCAGTTAAAACATTAACCATTCCAAGGAAAAGCAAAAACAACAGCGCCTGACTCTGAGAACAAAAACTTTCTCAATCCCCGGAAGGTGAAACACAGACAAGGCTGGGTACTGGCTGTGGGTGGGCAACAGACACCCACGGCTTTCACTCCTTCGTTACTGAACAAAAGTAATTCAAGAGCCATCTAATACGGATGGCAGGTGTGGCCACCATCAAATTATCATGCTGAACATTTGGAATAATGCCTAAGCTAGATCTCTGTAAAATCCCTCCCTCAGTTCCCTCCTAATTACTACTTAGCTCGTTAGACTGAAGAATTCCTAGACACCATTGCATTATAGTCTAAAACTACAGTTGGAGCTTAATTCTCTCTTCCTCTCTGTGTCTGAAATTCTACAGCTCTATTATTCAAGCCTGAAATATTCACAACTATCTATAAATTCAATTGTCAGCCGGTGGGTTTTATTCTAGACCTCACTTCAATCTAAAATTAGAGGCACTAAAATTCACATTAACTCTAAGAGGAATGTAGTGAATAAGACTTTATTTCAAAAGAACACCTTTTTGTCAGAAAGAGCTATTTTCAAGATGATGGCTTTATCTGCATTCAAAGAGAATAAGCCCAATTCCACATTGTGCTGTTAATGCAAAATTTTTAGGTCACATTGGATTAATAAAAATCTAAATTTAGTTAAGGTTTATGAATAGAAATAACATGTGTCATATAAAAACGTACAGTATTTATTTTAAAGCCTTGGTGGGGTTGTTTTTTTTCTTTACTAGATTTTAAACCAAATAGATGGCAGCGCCATTTGTGGTGGGCTCTCCCAGTTCTAACAACTGGGAGATCTCAGGCAAACTTTCCTTTCAGTAACTTTAGGGAAAGTAACTAATTGGTTCTAGAAGCGTTTACATGCCCATGTACAAGAGAAAATACATAGGGTGCTGTAAGCCTTGGGTAATATGCAATACACAGCACAAATCTTAACATCTCTACTAAATTTACTTCACAGCATCTTCATTTAAGTAAGACCTGAAGCCAGGAACTGCTGGCAGTAAGGTACAATGACAGAGCACTTCAATATGCAACTCCCGCTTTAAAATAGTCTTAAACAATAGCGAATAAATTGTAATGCTATGTGCTTATGAAAGACTGAATATATTAAGAATTTATTAATGCAATCACATTCATATTTCCATCTACCTGCCACATTACTAATGATATTGACAGTGCTGACACTGGCTAAATCAGTATCAATATACAAGTGGAGTGCAAAAATTAACTGCATCTGATTACAGTATATAGCCTTAAAAAAGAAAAGCTCATTTAAGCCACCGGGAACTCTTTATATTCCATCCATACGTGTAATTGCTTCACAAAGTTACTTTTCCCTCATCTTATTACCAATACCCCAAGGAGGTCAAAACAACATGCCAATACTTCATAATCCATGAACACATTTCATGCTCCCTTTTCAAACAGGAAAAGCTCTGCTTACAGCATCACTCATTACTTCAGAGCTGTGCTGATGGTATCAGTGATAGTAATGACTAGTCACAATAATTAAAGTGAGCACCTTTACTACAGATCAACACAAAAGTCCACTTTTACCTGCACATGAAGTTTTTTTCTTTTCTTGAAGAGAGAACTGCCCTATTTCCATAAATATCAGAATAGACTGTTAGCAGTTGACATTTGTAATGACAGCTACTACGTGGGAGCATCAGCAAGGCAGGTGTTATTATGCACATCTAGGTACTTTTCATGCTAACAGTGCAACCCATCAGATTTTCCTCCCATAGATTCCTCTCACAAGGATGTCAACCAAAAAGGTCTTACTATCCTCATACTTAACCACGAATACCAACACATTAAAGAATTTCTTGGTCTAGGTGACACAGTAAGTCAGAAGCAGAGTCAGGAATGGAAGCCAGATCCTTGCTTTGACTGTAAATACATTTCCTTTTAAAGACTGTCTTACTTTCGGTATCATTTCACAGGTCTGTACTAAAATCAGTAGACAAAAAACAGTGCAGCATGTTCCAGTGAACACGCTCAGCTTCTCTGAATGTAAAAGGGAAAAAACGTTTGTAGGCAAAGAAAAGAAAATGTTGCTTCTCGCACCAACGCCCACAACACCACCTCAAGACATTCACCGGGACCTGTTAAAGAGCTGAGTAACAATTTCAGCTGAGCTGCTTTACATTGAGCATTTTTTTCTGCTTCAGCTAATTGCACTCTAGTAAAGTGGCAAAATGTGAATCACTTAGTAGGAAAATGGGCACCAGCTGCTATTGTCAGAGAATGGAGACACCGAAG